TAATAGTTTTTGAGCTGTAGACTAGACCAATATCATTCACATAACTCAGAGATCACACTATTCTCATATTTCTATTTTTGAATAGATATGCAGTGTATATTGCAAATAAAATGAGTGAGATTGAAGATCTCTGTGATACTTCTATTTTTATCTCAGTCTTATCTTATTTCATTTCATCAAAGAAGAGTTGTATAATTCTTTTAGATATAAAACAGTTAACTCATTTTATTAGAGAAAGTGACAGTTTTAATATCTTCAATGTCTGAATTAACTTTGACTTTGAAACATGATCAAATGCTTCTTTTATATCAATAAAAACTGCAGTTGAGATCAGACTCTCATGCTTTGCTATTTAAATATCATGAACATCTGAGAGAACAGTGTCAATTGCAGAACACTGTTTTCTACCTCTTATTTATTCACTGAATAAAAGAGAATCATCTATAGAGCTCATAAAAGATAGTTAAGTAGCTATTATCTTTTCTAAAACCTTTTCTAGACAGTTCAATAGAGATATTACTCTATATGACTTAGAAATTGAAGTTTTTCTATTAGGTTTTGTAAGAATCACTTCAGTGACTTCTCTCCAGCATTCAGAATGATATTCATTTTTCAAGAGATTGAAAAAGAGCTTAAAATATTCATTCTTTAAGTAGGAATATGTATTTTGAATAATCAAGTGATTAATTGAATCAGGATCTGCAGCAGTTTTAACAGAACTTGAGAAGATAGCTGACTCTAATTCATCTTATGTAAGATCAGGCCATTCCCAGTCATTTTCATCAATATAGTTGAGAAGTAATATATTCTCTTTCTCTGAATCTGAATCTGAATCTGGTGAGTTCTGAAAGAGAATTCTCATGAAAGCTTGACATTTTTCCTCAAAAGAGTTTGCTGTATATGATTCATTCTGAAACTCATATTCTAGAGCTGGAAGTTTTGCTACACTTCTTGTTTTAGTATAGTTAAAAGCTTTAAAAACTTTCTTCTCTTGTGCTTCTTCAAGAAATTTATTCCAGCAGTCTGTTTTAGCTCTTTTAATATCTGAAAAATATTCATTTCTGACAGCTTTGAACTCTTCATCAGATATTACATCATTCTTTCAATCTCTTCTAGCAGTAGCTAATTCTTTCCTTTTAGATGAGATATTCTCATTTCATCAAGGTTTTAAATACTCAGAAGATTTTCTTTTTGAAATATTATCTCTAACACTTATTAGAATAATAGATGTAATAAGCTTCACTCTATTCTCAAGCATTTCATTTGAGATATCTTGACCAGAATTTCAATATAGCTCATTCTGTCTTTCAGATTTTAACAGTTTTATGCTTTCTTCAACTGCTTTTCAATCAGCTTTTTCAAAGTTATACTGATTAGAGAGAAGAGAATTTTCACTCATTTGTTTTTCACTCAGTTCAATATTAAATTGAATAATCTCATGATCTGATTCTGATGTCTCATTTGAATTAATAAATCAGTTTACAAGTCTTCTTTTCATTAGATTTTGTGATATGAATATTAGATCTATAATAGACTTCTGTTTCATGCCTTTTCTAAAGAATGTTTGTTGATCAGACTTATTAATCAAATCTATTGAATGCTCAAAGGTTCATTCAATCAGATTATCAGCTCTCACTGCTCTCTTACATTCTGAATTTCATCAGAAATGATGTGCATTGAAATCTCCTGCAATTATAGAGTTTCTTGATGAAGTTATGTTCAGAAATTCTCTATCAATTGTCCAGATATTGTTATTTTTCTTCAATGACTTTTCATTATAGATATTTATAAGCTGTATAGTATCAAACTCATTTTCTTTATCTATAATATCACTCATCAGAATATCAGAGTCAGACATGATATTAAATCTTAGATTAAATTGATATCATGATCTCTTTCTTTCATAGATCACTACTCTTGACTTTATCTCAGACTTTTGAGATAAAAAGCAGTAGTAGCTTGAATGAGAAATAATATATTTTTGCTCAGCATCAAAATTCAGCTCCTGAAGCAGTATAAAATTAACTTTTTATTCAAATGCAATTTGAAGACAAGAATAAATACAATTTGAGTTTTTATTCACATTATTTTGAATAAATGTGATTTTTAAAGAGTTTTTAAACTTTTTTTATTGTTTTTGTTGTATATTCATACTAAAAGAGAGTAAAGTAGAATCTAAACACTATCATCAGATAGTAGATTATAACTGTTCTGAAAAGTAGAAATCTCAACTGCTTGCATTATATCTAGTTTATCATCAGAGTCATTTCTCAATTCTCTAATCTTAACAGAAGTTTAAGAATTCAAATTCTATTTACATTTCACTGAAGAATTGAAGTTTGAAGACTTAGATAATTGAGAGTTTCTTCTTTTTAAGCTTGCAGTTGTGAGTTTACTGGCTTGACTCTTCTCTTCAGTTCTAGATTGACTTTGAGCTTCATCTTTTCTTCAGTTCTTTTGAGTTCTAGAAGCAAATATACATTCTTTTGAGCTAGATGCATGTTTTTCTTTGCAATTAGAGCACTTAAACAGAGTATATTAACAAATTTCACCTCTTTTTGAGCATGTTTCACATTTATGCTCACTAGTTTTATGATCTCTGACACAGAATGCACATTTTGAGTCTCTAAAACATGAGATTGCAAAGTATTCATATCTTTGACAGTTTGAACACTGTGTTTGAGTTTTGAGATTCATTCTTGAGTCTTTGTATTCATGAACTCTCATTTTCAAACCTGCTACTCTTACTTCAGAGATCTTTGACTGTTCAAGTGTTTTTATATATAGTAGAACAGAGGCATTTCTCCTACTTTGTCTGAACTCAATTGAATTTAATCATACAGACTTCTTTCTCAGTTGAATAAAGTTATATTCTTTCAATTCATTTTTGAGAAGTAGCATTTCTTCTTCACAGTCAAAAATTTCAACTGAAATATCATAAAGAATGAATTTGTCTTACTTTTCATCTCTTTCAGATAGAATTGTTGTGTTTAGCAAAGATTCTACTGCTGACTTTCAGAGATTCTCATTCTGAATAAGGAATTCAGCACTGAATTCAGACATTGTAGTCAGAATGATGAAGTTTTCAAAGAATGATGACTCAATTGAAGCTATAACTGATTTTTGAACTTTAATATCAGTCATCAACTGAGAAAAGAACTGCTGATTAATTTCATTTCTGATTCTGAAAATGAGATTTAAGTTTAGCTTGTTTCTTTGCAAAATGTCCTGATTTGAGACTTTGAGAATAAGTCTTCTATTTCTGAAGATTTGAAAGTTTTTCTCTTTTTGCATTTTCTTTTCCACTTTTCTATGAATAGAGGCATGAGCAGTATTCTTCTCAGTTTTCTCAGGATTTTAAGCAGGTTTTGAGACAGCAGATTTAGAGACAGTGAATTCAGCTACTTAAGCATATATTTTCTTCTGATTCAAAGAAGAAGAAGAAGTAGGAAGAAAGAAAGAAGAAGAGCAAGATGAAGAGTCAGTGATTATACTAGGAATTTTCAAGGTTTTTTGAACTATATTTGAGATTTTGAGTTTGAACTTGATCATCTCCTGTAGTTGTCTAGTCTGAGTATGAAGAATTAACAGAACTTCTTCATTTATCTCACTCAGACACTGCTTTTCAAGAATCTTGCTTGCTTTTTCAAGTTTCTGTATTTCAAGAACTTATTATTTCTCTATTTCTTCTTTCTTTTTTCTCTTCAGAATTTCAATCTCAGAAATAGCATTTGAGAAAGCATCTTTTTCCACATCAACTGAGTGTATTTTTGAACTCATTGTTTTCACTCAATGAAAAGTTGATCAGACTGTTTCAATTAAGATATTTCTAAGTCTGTTTTCAATTGAAAAGTTGATCAGACTGTTTCAAAAGAAGAATAAAAGACTTTTATGTATAAAACACCTGATTTTTTTCACACTAGTTCAGTAACTAGGTTAGATTTTTGAAGAGAATCTAATAAACTAAAATTGATTTTTAAGATAAATCAATGAAATCTTTACAATCTCTTTCTTGAGATACAGTGAGAAAAAGTATGATATCAATTGATAATAAATCAGATGATATGATAGTTTTTGAGAGAAAAACTGACAAAAAATAAATCAATTTTTTGCAGAGAAATTGATTAAAACTATTCAATTTTATTCTAAATCATTCAATTCTCCTCACACAACAAGTGTGCAACTCAAATCAGTTAATAAAGAGTGTAAAAAAGAATTAAGTATTAATGAAAGCTCTTCAGCCACTGAAAAAGTAATTCTTACTTAAAAGAATATGAAATTATGACAGAAAACAACTCTGTTTTTAATTCTTTGTAAGAATATTGTATAAAACTCAGAGAAAAACACCTTACTTTTTTAAGAGAAGTAAAAAACTATTTCTAAGATCTTTTTTTTGCATTAACTGCTGCAGAAGAATAAGATAGAAACTGCTAAGATATGCACTACTATATACTCTCTATCAAGACTTTTCCTCTTCAGAGTCTTGATATTATAGAGAATATAAGTCTGTTTCTATATAATAATATAAATATTGTCAGCGGGATGTAGAGGAACTGGTTATTTATATCTCAAAATAGAAGACTTTGTCAATGATTATATCAATATAGAGTTAATTCTTAAAATCAATAGAAACCTAGTGTTGCTGTTCTCAATCTCTTACAGAATCTATTGAATATTGAGATATTAAAACTAGATTTAATATATCTCATCATGCAGGGATCAAAGACTCAGTCAGACCTTGAGATATACTGATTTTATTGTTGTTGATGTGCTGTTGACTCATTGTTTACTGATTATGTATTGAATGCTGTTACCAAGGTATCTTTTTGTATCATTCTGCTGAGGAAGGGCCAGATTGAGAGGAGTAGTACAGAGATGAGACTTGGTGTTGAAGTCTAGATACACTGGTGATGAACTGTGAAGATTGCACTTCAGAAGAGTCTGTTGATTATGTGCTTGATATTATTGCTGAGATATCTTTTTGTATTTTTCTGCTGAGGATGGGCCAGATTGAGAAGGGCGGTATGAGGGTGAGACTTGGCGTTGGTGTTTTGAAACATCAAAGATGGACAGGGTTTTCGCGGAGGTCACTCCTCAGATATCTTCACAACTACAGGTCGGGGATCTTCCAAAATCGAGAAGATTGGTGCATATGGCTAGGTCACTTCACCTTACAATTTGTATGGCACTCTGGCCCGGGGTTGTGGTGTGGTAGAGGAGAATGAGGGATAATCCCACACAGGAGCTTCGAACAACGTCCGGTTCACATTTGGCTGGATAACTCCACCACCACACAGGGTATGCGGTCGGCGATGAGGTCAGAATGCTCGTATGATCGAGGGCTTTTCAATGAATCTATCGGCGGGTTCTTATTCGAAAAATCGAGCGAGTTCGTGGTGAAGCGGTTGAGTTAGTATCTTATGATAGATATATTATTCATTGAATATGTAATATCTGTGAAATCAGAAGAAGTATAATTATATAAATATCTTACATATCTAAGATGTTAGAACTAGACTGGCCGCTGAGATCATGAATTTCATGTTTGATCTCATTTGATCTGATTCCATACATTTCTTGATGTGAATCCCGCTGGGACTAATCATTAAATAAACATGTAAAGTGACTATATATCAGATCTCAAAATGAAACCATGACTTGAAAAAAATGAGAAAGTGATCTCATTTGGTCTCATTTAGTCTCATTCTTGACATAAAGTTACTATTTTTAGACATTTTAAGGTTTTTTTTAGACTATTTTTAATTTTTTAAAAAGTAATGCTTTTTGATAACACTCAAATGAGATTTAAAGTCCTTAAAGTAATAAATATAATTTAAATTGAGAAGTGAAAATCATGATCTTATTTGAAAAATGTGATAAGAGTAGACAGTAAGTCCCACTGAGACAGTATGAGACTACTATCTAATGTTAGAACTGTGTAATGAGATCTGTCAAATTAATAATGAAACTATCAAAAATTCTGGTCCTGGTCTCAGACACGGTCACACGGTCAGTCTAGTTAGAACTCTCAGATCTTTCACTGATATTCTCTTATTCTCTTTATAAAATCTTATTCTCTTTATAAGATCTTGTTACTAGACTGACTGTGTGACCGTGTCTGAAACCAGAATCAGATTTTTTAATAGTCTCATTATCAATTTAACTGCTCTCATTACACAGTTTTAATATTAGATAGTAATCTTATACTGTCTCAGTGAGACTTACTGTTTACTCTTATCATATTTTTCAAATGAGATCATGATTTTCACTTCTCAATTTAAATTATTTTTATTACTTTAAATGACTTTAAATCTCATTTGAGTGTTATCAAAAAGTGCTACTTTTTAAAAAATTAAAAATAGTCTAAAAAAACCTTAAAATGTCTAAAAATAGTAACTTTATACTAAGAATGAAACTAAATGAAATCAAATGAGATCACTTTCTTATTTTTTTCAAGTCATGGTTTCATTTTAAGATCTGATATATAGTCACTTTACATGTTTTTTTAATAGTCAGTTCCAGCGGGATTTATGTCAAGAAATGTATAGAATCAGATCAAATGAGATTAAATATGAAATTCATAATCTCAGTAGTCAGTTTACTTGTTACAGAGTCAGAGTAACTGATGAATAAGTTTCTATTTAAAGACTCAGTATCTACTTAACTGATTGATTATTTCTTTATTTCTTATATATTATTACATGTTCAGATATCTCAGTGAGTAATCATTTCTAATAAGAAGATAATAAAAGTGAATAATTATTTCTAATAAGAATGTGGTTCGGAAGAACGTACGACCGTCGGATAATAACGCGGCCGCTTCCGAACTACTAGCGTACGCGTACGCTTCCGAACTACTAGCGTACGCGTACAAATGTAAAGAGGGCCCTAGCAGCCACTAATTAATTTAGCATACAAGATTCAATATATAAGAAGCCGGTGTACGCCTGTAATCATACACTGGCTTAAGCAACCTTTGAATCACATCTGATAGCATGTCTAAAAACTGGTGAGAAGTGCAGACTTCTCCAGGGCATGATAATTCTGTCTATGAAGCAATTTATAGTTATCATGTCAGTGTGGTCCTAGAAAACACCTCAAAAGATAGTGTATAAAGAGTGATGAGCAGAAGAGCATCTGATTGATACTGCTTCACTTGTTGAGAGAAAACTCCACACTCAGACGCATGTCACATATGAGATGCAAATGAATGAGATGTGAGAAAGAGAATGAAAGTGATGAATCAGATTCAAAGAAGTTCACTCTCTACTTAAAAGAAGGATAAAAGAAGAGGTGACTACCATCAGAGTCATACAATGATAACAGAAATCATATAATGATATAGTGATAGAACAATACAGTGATATAGTGATATAATGATAGATATCATACAATCAACTAGAAGTCACTGAAATGAATATCTTTTCTAGCTGATACAAATAACACTCTTCTCTGCTACCTGAACTGGAAGATATACAGAATCTCTCAGAGAATTTACTCAAAGCAGTAAGAAAAGCAGCTGAGACTGCTGAACTGAAATTAAAGCTCTGTATATGTACAAGAATTCTAAACAAGATCAAGGCCTTGCATACACAGTGGCAGACTGAGACAGAGATCAAACAATAATTGACATTCACTGCAGATCAAGTATTCACTATGAAGAGCTTCACTGACACAATCACCATCATTAATAAGAATAGAGAAAATCAGATCTTAGACCTGCAGCAGAAGATTGAATATTTACACAGATAGGTAACTATACTGAACCTGAAGATCTCATCATAATCATTCACAATCTCTTCAGAAGTATACACATTATCAGAGACTGCTGTGTAGAATGAGAATCTGAGTATGAAATATATCAAGCTGAGAGATCTGTCAGAGTCATCAAGCTTTAATAGTGACTGAAAAAATGATGCTGCAATCAGCTGGCTAAGTCAGATATAATCATATTATCAAATTAAACATGAACTCACAGACAGGCAGTCAATGAAATTTCAACAAGTCTTAAGATCTGTCATGTTTCTATGCAGAAAAGTGAAGTCATTATAAATGACTGATGAAAAGATAAATCTCACAGACTCAGAGTGATATTCATTCTTATAAATATGAAATAAGTTTTTCAAGTGAATCTTACACAACTTTGAGAAAGTGAACACACAAGATAAGTGTTATAAATACTTCACTGAGTGTAGATAAGTGAGTAATCTTACATCATACTTTACACACTTCAGCTTACACTATCTCATATTGAATGAAGAGCTTTCAACATCTTTCTATTTACAGATCTTCATTCATAATCTTACATCTGAGTTGAGAGTGAAATGAAAATGCTTAATCTCACAGCCAGGCACAGTGAAGAAAGCATACAACATTCTTATTATACAGAAACAAGTGAGTCAATTGTAATAGAAAATACTGCAATTGAGTATATCTCAGTGAAGAACAGATAATCAGACTTCTATAATACAAGTCACACATCTGAATGCAATGAATCTAGATCTGAATGCTATCACTAAAGCACTGAATCTTCTGAAAAAGAAATCCTCTGAGTGAAAACCTTGATATCACAAGCATTGAGCTTGTTTCAACTGCAGATGTTAAAATCATGATGTAAAAGATTACACTCAGTGTACACAGTCAAAAAACTAGCAGGATCAGTGAGCTCAGAGACACTCACTGATATTCTATAAAAAGTCTTCAAAGTGAAAGAGATGCCTGTGTTAGATAATTCTCTGAATTCTGTGAAAGCAAAGAAGAAGCAGGCTTCTGAATGAGATGCAGGTGAGAATGATAAAGTAGACACTCATCTCAATGTCTTAGAGCCTGAAATATTAATGTATAGAGAGCACTTGAGTAAGAATCAAGAGATGGCTGCAAAAGTGTTAGTGAATACAGAAGCTTCTACACAATATATTGATAATCATATAATCTGAAGATTGAAAGAGATTTATTAAGTGAAGAATCTCTGATGTATAAGATTATCTGATAACTGATATCTGATATCATCTGTAAAAGTAAGAGTTTCCTTGCACTTCAGAGAATGATCTTGCTATATTTGAGTGTGAGAGCTGCAGAATGTGAAATACAACCTTATTCTCAGACTTGATTGATTTCAAAGGTTCAATCTGCAGATTCAATGATGTACATGTCATATGCAGTTGATCAATAGAAAGAAAATGATTCATATGATTCTATCAACTGATATGAGAAGAACATTTCACATCTCTGATATAGAAGGATTAAATCTGCTTATATATTAACAAGCAAAGAGAATGATTCACAAGACCTTATCTGAAAGCATTCTGTATATCATACAGAACTTGAAAGTGAAGAAAACTAAGATAAAGAATATGCAGAAGGATAAGTGTATGAAGAAGCTTCTGAAGAAGTATAAAAAGATCTTCTGAACAGATCTTTCACTGAAATTGCTGCCAGAATGAGGATTCATACATGAGATTGACACAGGGGACACAAAACCAGTCAATCAGAATGTGTACTCTCTGTCACAAATGCATCTCAAAGAACAGAAGCATCAGATCACTGATCTTCTAGAATGTGATCTCATACAACTCTCATCAAGTATGTGGGGCTTTCCAGTTCTATTCATGAAAAAGGTGAGTGAGAAGTGATAAATATGTATCAATTACTGAGCACTCAACAAGCTTACAATCAAGAATGAATATTCACTGTCATGAATTCAACAACAGTTGAATACAGTTGAAAACATCTGATATCTATCAAAGATTAATCTTCTCTCAGAATACTGACAGATCTGTGTAGATGAACTGTCAGTCTCATGAACTGCATTTAATACACAATGAGAAAAGTTCAAATTCCTGATAATGCTATTCAGTCTGATAAATGTGCTCATCATCTTTTAAATAATAATGAATACAATTCTTCATAAACAGAATGAAACCTCATGCCTCATATATCTCAATAACATTCTAGTCTTTTCAAACTCATATAATGAACATCTGAAGTATCTTGATAAAGTGCTTACAACTCTGACAGAGTATAAGCTCTATGCTAAATTAACCAAGTGTGTGTTTGAAATGAAAGAGTTGAAGTTTGTAGAACATGTAGTGAGTGATGACTGTATACACCTCATCTCAGAGAAATTGAATGTCATAGTGAATTGACTGCAGCTGAGAAATATACATCATGTACAACAGTTTCTTGAGTTAATCTCATACTACTGCAGATTCATCAAGGATTTCACATAAATATCTGCATCACTCTCAGATCTCTTAAGAGAAATGAATGCAAATCTGTGAAAGAAGAAGTTTTGTTCAATCATCTGAAATGTCACATGCAAAGAGGCTTTTCTCACACTGAGAGAATGTGTAACAACATTCTCAGTGCTTATTCAACCAGATTGTGATAAACCTTTCTACATTGAGACAGATGC